TCCTGGGGGCCTCTTGCGGCCATCGTGGAGGAAATCGATCAAAGAAGGGGGGGTCCTAAATTTCAGCCCTCCCTTCAGAAGGCCAAAATGGTGCCAAACCCTGGTAAAATCAATCATTTTGGCTTCCTCGCCGAGGTCGTTTTGGGCGCTCCAACGCGCCGCGGAACCCCCTGTCCAGGTCAGTGGGGAGGGGGTAGGGGGAGGGGTAAACCCCTCCCCGAAGGGGAAGAAGGAGGGGTGGAAGAGGAAACTCCTTAAACCACCGACGCCCTAAAGGGCTGGTGGGATTTCTCGCCCAGGGGGGCACCCTGAACTTATGAAGGGGCCCACGCGGGGAGGGCCCTCGGAGGCTGTGCAGCCTCCTCGCAGAGGGCTCGAAACGGATCTCATGGGCGTTCTGGCCTCACTCGGGCCGAGACGCCGTGCGCCAGTCTACTTTAGACGCGGCACAACAGGAACTCGTTCGAGGTGGGCGGCCAGCGCGCGCGCGCATCTCCCAAATCACCGAGTTTACACAGATGACGGGCGACATGACAGCGTCCAGTTGGTCCCCCTCCAACTTGCTCTGGCTAAATCGGCCGGTCACGACGTGAATGTTCAGCTGCACGTCCTGCACGGCCTTCACCTGAACCACGTCATGTTCTATGGCCTCCAACGGCTTCACCAGGCTGTCCACGGCGACCTTCAGGTAGTCCAGTTTCTCCTTCAGCAGGACGCCCAGGACTTTCAGTTCCGGGGACTCGGTCGCGCCGTCGGTGGAAGAGTGGGCCCGGTGCGCGGTGCCGAACGTGCCGTTCGTGAACAGGTCCGTCATGCTGGCCAGTCTTTCTGCCAGCTCGAGGTCGATCTTGGTCTCCCCCTTCACCTTGCCGTTGGCCTTGCAGTCCAGGGCGCACTTGGTGTCCTTCTTCAGCAGCTCTCCCAGCTTCTTCGCCGCTGGTTTCGGCGAGAGTTTGTCCTCGGGCCCGTCCCCCGGATGGCCCAGTTGGGCGCACTCCAGCACCTTGGCGCCCTTGGTCGTCGGGATCGAGGCCGTGATGCGCTTCGCGTCCGTGATCTCCTGGTCCGCATTCAGGGACGGCGGAGGCGCCTGGGCCCGAGCGTCCGCCATGGCGGCCCTGACTGCCACGATGCCTCCCTGGGCGGCAATGGCGGCGCTGATCCGCCTGTTCGTCTCCTCCTCGCGGGCCGCCTCGGTGGGGTCATCATACGCACGGTCGCAGCCCTGCAGGTCGCCCAGCTTCTTCGACGCTGGTTTCGACAAGAGTTTGCCCTCGGGCCTGTCCTCGGGATGGCCCAGTTGGGCGCACTCCAGCACCTTGGCGCCCTTGGTCGTCAGGATCGAGACGGTGATGCTTTTCTCGTCCGTGATCTCCGGCGCGTCAGGCCTCGACGGCCTCAGGGTGACCACGGCGCCCTTCAGGTAGTCCAGCTCCTCCTTCAGCGGGAGGCCCGTGACGCTCGTTTCCAGGAGCTCGGTCACGTTCTCGGTGGAAGTGTGGGCCCGGTGCATGGTGCCGAGCGTGTCGTTCACGAACAGGCCCGTCAGGCTGGCCAGGCTTTCTGCCAGCTCGGGGTCAAACTTGGTCTCCCCCTTCACCTCGCCGTTGGCCTTGCACTCCGGGGCGCACTTGATGTCCGTCGGGATCGGGCCCGTGATGTGCTTCTCGTCCGTGATCTCCTTGTCCGCAAACAGGGGCTCGTTGAGGTCGCATCGGATCAGCGCCTTCTTTCCCTTCAGGTCGACGTCGCCTAGGTCCTCCACGGACTTCTTCACGACGATCTACTCGTCCAGCACCTGCGCAACCCTGCGCGCCGGGAGGGGCGACGTCCGCGCCTCGGACTGGCCAGCGGCGCCGTGCGGCCCAGCCCGAGCGGCAGAGCGCCGCCGCCAGGGGCCTCTGGGCCGGCCGCGCGGCCGACCCGCAGGAAACATCTCGTGTCGCGGCCGGACCCGCTCGCCTCACGGGCGCGGGTCGCGCATGGCAGCTGCCCCGAGAGAGGTTCGCGGATAACTGGTGTCCAATTCCAGAGCCTCGAACCGGGGCAGCGGCTGAGGAGGAGGGAGGAGGGAGGGAGGAGGGAGGAGGAGGAGCAGGAGGAGGTGGAGGAGGAAGAGGAGGATGAGGAGGAGGAGGAGTAAAAGGAGGGGGAGGAGGAGGAGGGGGAGGAGGACAAGCTACGGTACATTACAGTAGGTGCGCTCGCGTCATATCTGACGTCCTATCCCTCCCTCCCATCCCTTACCATGTCGCTGATTTTCTCTATCCGCGGACGCGTGTCGTAGCGGACCTGTGGCTCCGCGCGCGCGTGCGTAGTGGGTGGTGGTGCACGTGCGTGCGTGCGTGCGTGTGTGCGTGGTTGTCGTGGTGGTGGTGGTGGTGGTGGTGGTGGTAGTGGTGGTGGTGGTGGTGGTGTGGTGGTGGTGGTGGTGGTGTGGTGGTGCTGGTGGTGGTGGTGGTGTGGTGGTGGTGCTGGTGGTGGTGCTGGTGGTGTGCTGGTGCTGGTGCTGGTGCTGGTGGTGGTGGTGGTGCTGGTGGTGGTGGTGTTGGTACTGGTGCTGGTGCTGGTGCTGGTGGTGGTGGTGGTGGTGGTGGTGGTGGTGGTGGTGGTGGCGGTGCGGCGCGGTGGTGGCGGGCGGATGGGCGCGCGAGAAAAAGGCCCGCGCTGGGGCGAGAACGCCATCCTGAACGACGGAGGCCAAACACCGATCCGAAAATGAGGCCCACGCTGCAGCGGGAGCACGATTCGGAACGATTCGGGAGCAGAAATGAGGCCGGCGCCTCAACGAGAGCAGCATTTTGGGAAACAATGACGCCGGCGCCTCAGCGAGAATCGTTTCCCGGGATTTCCCGGGAATCCTGTGTGTAAAAAAACAGTACGCGGAGGGTGCGCGGCCATCACCCGGACGCCATCAGGGGAAGAGGGAGAGTATTTTCATATATTGTGGAGGAGGAGGAGGAGGAGGAGGTGGAGGAGGAGGAGGAGGAGGAGAACGAGGAGGAGCAGGAGGAAGGGGGGGGGTCGATGGCAGCAGTCAGGACCACTGCGTCGCGCACGAGCTGTTCGGGCACCTGAAGTGAGGGGCCCGGTGGTTGCCCGCCGCCGCGGCGGCGCGCCAGAGGAGCTCCTGGGGGCCAGGGGGGGCGGCTCACACCCCGACCTCTCGTTATGGAGCTTCGGCGGCGAGCCGGGAGGGGAAGTGAGCAGCAGGGCTCGAACTGAGCTTGAGTCGGGCGTGTCCCTCTACAGGAGAAATATCCAACAACAGTTAACAGGCAACATCGTGTGCGGACGATTTCTTTCCGTATGTTGGACACTTGCTTTTGTGTATTGTTTAGTATTTTGTGTTTTTCCCGGAAAGGGCGGGGGCCCAGGGTTCTCTTTTAGTAGGTAAACCTGTCCCCCGGTGCCAACTTGAGGGAGGCCGGCGAATTTTTTCCCTGATAAATAACGAGGTCGAAGGAGGCCGGCGAATTAAAATTTGAGGATGTCTCGAGCGAAACGCTTGTTTTTGAAATCCCGATCGATAAATCACAGGGTGCGGGCCACTTTTTCGTGTGTTGAGGATGTCTCGAGCGAAACGCTTGCTCCGCAGAGTTTGCCGAGGATGTCTCGAGCGAAACGCTTGTTTTGCAGAGCCGACCGCGACGCGGAAAAGCGCCCCGCGCGAAGGAATTTCGATGATGTCTCGACTAATTCCTTTGTTTTTGTACGATTTCCTGGAATTTTGGCAGGATGTCTCGAGCGAAATGCACGACCCCACCCTAGCACGACCATACCCCAGCACGACCACACCCCAGCACGACCAGACCCCAGCACGACCCCACCCCAGCACGACCCCACCCCAGCACGACCATACCCCAGCACGACCACACCCCAGCACGACCCGACCCCAGCACGACCCTACCCCAGCAAGACCACACCCCAGCACGACCACACCCCAGCACGACCTCACCACAGCACGACCTCAGCACGACACCACGACCACACCCCAGCACGACCACGCCCCAGCACGACCACCCCAGCACGCCCCAGCACGCCCCAGCACGACCACGCCCCAGCACGACCACACCCCAGCACGACCACACCCCAGCACGACCACACCCCAGCACGACCACACCCCAGCACGACCACACCCCAGCACGACCACACCCCAGCACGACCCACCCCAGCACGACCCCACCCCAGCACGACCCCACCCTAGCAAGACCACACCCCAGCACGACCACACCCCAGCACGACCTCACCACAGCACGACCACACCCCAGCACGACCACACCCCAGCACGACCACGCCCCAGCACGACCACGCCCCAGCACGACCACGCCCCAGCACGACCACCCCCCAGCACGACCACCCCCCCAGCACGACCACCCCCCAGCACGACCACCCCCCAGCACGACCACACCCCAGCACGACCACTCCCCAGCACGACCACACCGCCTTGGTTGAGTGGTTGCCTGTCGTCGTGGAATGTTTCGTGGGGTGTCTCGTGGAATGTTTCGCGGGGTGTCTCGTGAAATGTTTCGTGAGGTGTCTCGTGGAATGTTTCGTGAGGTGTCTCGTGGGCTGTTTCGTGAGGTGTCTCGTGGGATGTTTCGTGAGGTGTTGCCCAGTTGGGTATCATGAAAACGTGTCCATGCTCCACATGTCTATATCCCTTTCCGGGTTCGTGGGTCCATCATGTTTGTTGTTGTTCAAAATCCGCCTGTATGGGGGACACGCCCGATCTGAAGCTAAGCGGTATGTTGGCAATTTCGTGGGCCGTTGTCGTCTTCATGCCGCTCGGTGGCAAGGGGCGGGGCGAAGGCAGCGGGCGGGAGAGCGAAGGCAGAACGACGACGGCAAGCACTGCTGAGCTCGAACCCTGGCGAGCAGGAGCGGGCATCCTCAGAAGTCGAGCAGTGGCGAAGCGTCCTGGCTCGCCTATAGCCCTACCACGCCATGTTCTGAGAACCCTCTTTGGTTTCCACGGAATGTTCTCAGAACATGCCTGGTTGAGATGGTCTTGTTTCAACACGTCGGGGTTATGTTCTAAGAGCATTTTTCTGGTTCGTAGAACATTTGTGGGTTCTAGGAACATGTCGTGGTAGGACTCTAGGAATGCCGGGACGGTCGGTCCCTGCTCAACGAAGGCCCGGGAGTCCCCCGGCCTTCCGAGGAGCTCTCGAAGCCCTCCCCCGAGGGCGCAGGGAACTGGCCAGGAGGCCAGGAAGGGCTTCCTGGGAGGGAGCAGGAGGAGGGGGAGGATCTCCTGCTCCCCCTGCTGCTCCGGAACCGGGGCCTTCTCCTCCGCTGCGGCCTCCGATCGTCGTCGTCCTCTTGCCCCTCTATCGCATTATCCTCCTCCTCCTCCTGCTCCTGCTCCTCCTCCTCCCTCTCCTCCGCCTCCTCCCTCCTCCTCCTCCTCCTCCTCCTCCTCCTCCTTTCCTCCTCCTCCTCCTCCTCCTCCTCCTCCTCCTCCCTTCCTCCTCCTCCCTTCCTCCTCCCTCCTCCTCCCCTCTCCTCCTCCTCCTCCTCTTCTTCCTCTCCAGACGAGGATGAGGGCGAGGAGGAGGAGGAGCAGCAGGAGGAGAGGAGGAGCAGAGGAGGAGGAGGAGGAGCAGGGAGAGGAGGAAGAGGAGGAGGAGGAGGAGGAGGGAGGAGGAGGAGGGAGGAGGAGGAGGAGGGGGAGGAGGAGGAGGAGGAGGAGGAGCAGGAGGAGGAAGAGGAGGAGGAGGGAGGAGGAGGAGGAGGAAGCGGTGGAGCACGATATTTTTTGGCCGCCCTGGGATGGCGGGCGTGTATGATCCGTATTCGCCGTGCGCTGGCCCGCCTTCTACGGCCTGGCCCGCGCCGCCGTTCCCGAGCAGCGCTCTGCCCGCGCGGGGCCGCCCGGTGCCGCCTGGTGAGCTGCCGCGCGGCGTGGGGAAACCGCAGCCGGCCGCGGTCGGCCGGCCTCGCGCTGCCGGGTCCGAGGGGGCCCCGCCGCGGGGACGTCCTCCTCCTCCTCCTGCTCCTCCTGCTCCTCCTCCTCCTCCTGCTCCTCCTCCTCCTGCTCCTCCTCCTCCTCCTGCTCCTCCTCCTCCTGCTCCTCCTCCTCCTCCTCCTCCTCCTGCTCCTCCTCCTCCTGGTCCTCCTCCTCCTCCTCCTCCTCCTCCTCCTCCTCCTGCTCGCCGAGGAGCTCGCGATCGTCGGGGAAGTCCCAGGGGGGGAGGTATGGGAAGCTCGCGATCGTCGGGGGTGCCGGCGGGGTCTCGCCTGGTCCTCGAGGCCTTCTCGCCGCCGGGTGCCTGCTCCGGCGGCCGCGCCCCGGCGAGGAGGGCTTCTCTCCAGGGGCGCGGGGGTCGTCCTGGACGGCCCCCGCAGGCCCGAGACCCGAGAGCCACCAGGGGGCGACGAAGGTCAGGAGGGGAAAAAACACACAGACACAATTAATCGTCGATTCCCCCAAAAATAAAAGGAAATATGGGCAGTGGGGGGAAGACAGAAATCCCGATAATACGGACAAGTATGGGGAATCCATTTATTTGTGTGTATTTATTTGCGTGTCCTTGGGCCCCTTCAGAAGGGGGCGAGGACCACGGGCACGTTGATGTCATGGGCGGCTGCGCTCCGTCGAGGAGGGCTTCTCTCCAGGGGCGCGGGGGTCGTCCCGGACGGCCCCCGGAGTCCCGAGACTCCGGAGCCACCAGGGGTCGACGAGGGGGGCGAGGACCATGCCTTGGGTTAAGTCGGGCCTGTCCCCCTACAGGGGGATTTTCGACGAAAAATAATAAATATTTCAAACGTAGTAAAAAATAGTCCAAAAATAGTCTGGGGACTATGTTTGGAGTATTTTTCGCCTTTTTGGGACACCTGCCCCTGGGCGGCTGGAAAGTTTATACCCTTACGGCGCCGCCGTAAGGGTATAAACTTTCCAGCCGCGCTGGGGCAGGTGTCCCCGACGGCGAAAAAGTTTATTTTATACCGTTCTTCGCCCGTGAATTATCCTCGTCCTGGCTTCGCCTCTAGAGGGAGGAGGGCTTCTCGCGCCGCGCGCTCCGCGGCCTTGGCCGCAGCGTCGCCCTTCCCCCGGGGGGCGGCCGCTCGAGCCGCGCGGCGACGGCTGCCGTGGGGGCCCTCCGGCGCTCGAGGGCGGCTCCCTTGGAGCCTCCTCCTCCTCCTCCTCCTCCTCCTCCTCCTCCTCCTCCCCCTCCTCCTCCTCCTCGTACTCCTAGCTTTGAGAATTGTTCGGTTATTTGTCTCGTCTTCTTCGTCCAAAACCCGCCTGTAGTAGGCATGCCCGACCTATTCCTAGCTCGGCACCGTTCGGGCTTGTGCTGTTGTTTTCTCGTCGAGGAGCATCTTCGACTTGGCGTGAGAGTGACCTTGCGCCGCAGTGACCTTTGGTGCGGGCCCAATGGGTTTCCCCTTGCGATAGCAGCTTCTTGCGCGCCAAGGTTTGGCCACCCCGCGTCCCCAGTTAAGCCGCGCACCAAAGGTCACTCTTGCTTACGGTCACTCTTGCGTGTAACTGACATCTTGGACCATCTTGCGAAAACTATTCTGAAGCACCAGGAGGCACCGTCACTTCTAGCTCCTGTCCCTATTCCGTCGGGCCCCGGGCGGTTGAAACCGGGTTCGTTTTTGCGGTTCCTTCGATGATTCATTCCTCGGGGTGGGGACATCTGGCGTCCGGGGACACGTTGTAGGAGCTGTTCGTGGCGCGCCGGGGGGGGCGATCAAGCAATAACAAATCTTGCGAAACTGATCCGAGACGTTCCCAGTCCCGTCTCCATGCAGGGTGACTATGTATATGAACGCTCCATACAAATAGCGCAGTGCGAGATATGCACCACTCTGACATTCTTTGCCCAGCAATGCCGGGCCACGCGCGTCGCACACCTGCGCAGGAGTGGGCCGATGAGGACAGCGGCGTGCGCTACGTGACGTTCAAGCTCTCTGCGCTCTGTGCTGCAACAGCGCCGCGCGCTAAACAATGCGACGGCGCCGCGCGCTATGTGGGCACGCGTCATGCGGGCGCCCTGCATTCCACCGCGCCTCCCAGGTGCCCACGAAAAAGGCGACAGCTCGCATGTCGCAGCCCCCGAGGGAGCCGCGAAGTCTGAATCTGCGCTGCCCCGCGAAAGTGGCGGCGTTTGCCCAGTTCGCAGCCCCCGAGGGAGCCGCGAGGTCTCAAATGATCTGCGTTGCCCTCGACTCCGCCGTACTTCCCAGGAACCCAGGACGTGGCCATAGGTGAACAGCCCGCACTCCCCGAGGCAGCCGCGAGGTCTCGAAGTTATTTGCGGTGCCCTGCACCGCAGCGTGCCTCCCAAGAGCCCGCGGAAGTGGGGACACTCGCGCAGTTCGCAGCCACCCATGTAGCCGCGAGGATTAGGTTGGGTGCCCGTACAACTCCACCTCGTGCGGTCCGCAGTCGGTCACGGAACTACGAGAATGGCGACAATTGCGCTGCGCGCAACCACCCAGGGAACCGCGAGGTTCGTCTGAATGCTCGTAGGAATCCAGTCAGCTGGACCTCCACGGAACCCGAGAAAGTGATGACAGCTGCGCAGTGCGCAGCCACCCAAGGGGCTGCGAGGACTCGGCTGGGTGCGCGTACAAGACAACTCCGCTGGACCTCCCAGGAACTCGCGAAAGTGGCGACAGGTGCGCGGTGCACAACCACCAGGGAGCCGCGAGGTTTCGTTCGAATGTTCGTACAATTCCAGTCCGCTGGGCCTCCTGGGAATCCACGAAAACGATGACAGTTGCGGGGTGCGCAGCCACGCATGAAGCTGCGAGGCCTCGTCTGGATGCGCGTACAAGTCCACTTCGCTGGGCCTGCCCGGAGCCCACGAAAGTGGCCAGAGTTGCGCAGTTCGCAGCCACCCAGGGAGCAACACAGGAGAAGGCAGGAGAAAGGGGGAGGAGGAGAGGAGGTCTGCAGACCGCGGTGCTCTATTCAAGACCAGAACCCAAGACAGGAGGGTTGTCAAACATACACGCACGAAACCGAGGCATGCACAGGGAATGGACGTCCGAGCGGCGGCAAGCCTAAGGGGCCTCCCGGGAAGCCTTCTTGGGCGGCCATTCCAGCCCATGAGGTTGCAGCACGCCGACGGAGCGCGCAGCGTGAAGCTGGCTTATCTCGGGCGCCCTTGTGCGCAGGCCTGGACAATGGGCAGGGCATGAGGCCGACGAGGCGCGGCGGAAGTGCGGCGACAAGGCGGCAGACCTGGGAGCGAGACGTCACCGTTTTTGGTTTCATGATTCCCAGGCTCGGCCATGTTCGGACGGGGTTTGGGGCGAGGATGCATCCGTTCCAGAGCGTCCTGGAACGCCCTGCAGGACGTCCCGAGACGCTCTGAGAAGGACGCGGCGCCCGATCCATCCTCCAGATCCGCCCGATCTCAGAGGCACTTGCTTTGTCGCGGCGCCGTTTGTTCCGACTCGCGGCCTTACGTCTTTTGGAGGGCGCCTCGGCCACCAGAGCAAATGCCGCCTCAGGCGCAGGACTTGCCGTGAGTTTGCCGCGGTGCCAGCGTCGTCGGAGTCGGCGTCATCCGCGTGGGCGCGTTGACCGCCGGGCGACATTTCTCCTCACACGATGTTATCCTCGTCCTGGCTTCGTCTCACATATGGTACAGTCGTGCATCTGATTATGTAAGAGACCTCCTCCTGAAAAGCTGGACCAGCGTTTCTGCACCAACTTGCCAGAATGCTGGCCCAGTTTCTTGAGCACGTTGGCCCATTTAGTGCCAACGACAGAAACTGCTCCAGGCGTATGTTAAGAAGCCTCCGGGAAGCTGGCCCAAATGTCTTAAATGATGTGTTTGTGTTGATCCTATTTTCGGGAGGGAGGAGGGGGAGGACGAGGAGGAGGAGGAGGAGCAGGAGGAGGAGGAGGAGGAGGGGGAGGAGGAGGAGGAGGAGGAGGAGGGAGGAGGAGGAGGAGGAGGAGAAGGAGAGGAGCAGGAGGGGAGGAGGAGAAGATGCAGTAGTAGTAGGCGTAGGAAGAGGAGGAGGCGGAGGAGGAGGAGGAGGAGGAGGAGGAGGAGAAGGAGAAGAAGAAGAAGAAGAAGAAGGAAGAGGCGGACGAGACGAGAGGGGGAGCGAAGGAAGACGATCGCAAACGTGGATCAAGGGGGCGTAGATTAGCGACGGGTCCCTCTTCCATGGGGAATCGCGGATTTCTGCTGCCGAACGAGGCGGCGCCGGCCGCATTTTGGGGAGGGCGCCTCCCCCAACCCATGGATTTGGCTTCCGCGCACCAAACCCATGGATGGCTACAGTCAGCCCGCATAGGAAGGACGAGTGAGTTTTGCAGCGTTCGCTGACCAGCCCCGCTCGAGAAGCGTCAACACGGCGTTCCAGGGCCCTTGCACCCTTACCGCGCATCCCCACTACCCCGGTGGACTGTAATCCATGTTTGCGCGCCCCCGACGAAGGGGGACCTCCTCCCACCGCCAGAATCTGCCCGCAGCCACCGCTTCGGAGTCGCGCCCTGGGATCCCGAGGAGCGGTGGAGGTGGATGCCTGCCCGCCCGCGCTGGCGGGCAGGCATCCAGATCCGCCGCTCCCCGAGTCCTCGGAACGCGACCCAGCAGCAGTGGATATGGTCACGTTCTGGCGGCGCGCTCCTCGCGTTGAGAAAGAATCGCGACGGGAGGTTTTTCGCTATTTTTGGCCTCCGGGGGCCTTCCCGGGCCTCGGGACCGTCAAGAAACGAGCCAGGAGGAACATCCGGTCCCGGGGAAGGGGTCCAGACCTCTGGGGGTCGACGCTGCGAGCAAAAAAATCACGACGCCAGGGGTCTGGGAAGGCAGGAGGAGCAATGCTCCAGGAGTCGCCTCGCTCTTAGTTTGATTAGCCCCCCAGGGCCGACTGGTCCTGTGGGGGGAGGGCGGCATTCGACGGATCCTGCTGCCTTCGGCTCGTCAGCGGAGGAGGCGGACGAGGCTGGAAGAGGAGCGAAAAGAGGAGGAGGAGGAGGAGGAAGAAGCATGAGGAGGAGGAGGAGGAGGAGGAGGAGGAAGAAGAGGAGGAGGAGGAGGAATAGGAGGAGGAGGAAGAGGAGGAGGAGCAAGAGGAGCAAGAGGAGGTCGAGTGGAGGAGCAGGGGGGGGGAAGGAGGAGGAGGAGGAGGAGGAGGAGGAGGAGGAGGAGGAGGAGGAAGAGGAGGAGGGGAACGAAGGAGGAGGAGGAGGACCGAGGCGGAGGAGGAGGAGGAGGAGACGGAGGGGCGCGGAGGAGCAGGCGGGGTAAGGGGGCGGAGGAGGGGCAGGAGCAGGATCGCGAGCGGGAGCAGCAGGATGATGGCGATGTGGAGCAGGGCCTTAGTGGGCCCTCCCAAGAGGCCTCCAAGTGGCCTCCAAGAGGCCTCACAAGAGGCCTCACAAGAGGGCCCGAGAGGCCAAAATCATAAATTTCACGATGGTTTTGGAAGGATTTTGGCCATGTCGCCTTTTCGGCCGTCCGATGCTCCAAGACGGCCCAAGAGGCCCCCAAGAGCGCCCCAAGACGGGCCAAGAGGCTTCCAAGAGGGCCCCAAGAGGGCCCAAGAGGGCCGTTTTTTTACCGGTTCCGTTTTGCCGTTTTTGTTGCCGGTTCCGACGCCGTTTTTTTGCTGCTTCCGTCCCGTTTTGTGACCGGTTCCGGCTCCAGTTCCAGTCCTGGAGCCGTTTTTTTGCCGTTTTCGGTCGCCGTTTGTTTGCCGTTTCCATTTTCAAGGGACATCTTTTTGGAAACGGTGAAAAAACGGCCCTGCTGTTTCCAGGGCCCACAAAGAGCAGGGCCACGATGGATTTGATTCTAGCCGCAGTTTTTGACGGCTCGCGTATCCGCACGAGTTCTCTCCTGCTCGTTCCTGTCTTTTCCTTCTTTTCGCCCTTCCCCTTCCTCTTGCGCTGATTTAGGCAGTTGCCAGCTTGCAGTTGCCTGGGCGCCGCCCGACCTTTTCTTCGCCGCGGTCGCGATCAAAACAAACGTATCCGCACCAGCCAATCCAGAAACAGATCGCCAGGCGAGTTGCCTTGGTCAGGGAGGTGTGGGAGCATGCAGTGTAACAGTCGCCTTGGAAGTGTTTTGGGGATCTTCGCGGAGCCACTGGGGGGGTCTGGGGGCCCTCTTGGGGCTCTGTGGGGGGGGGGGGGGGTGCCATTTGGGGCCGTTTTGGGCCCCATGGCTCAAAAAGAGGAAGTGTCCTCAAGTCCCCCGCCCCCCTCATATCCCATTTCGGAGGCTCAGAAATTATGCCTTGAGGCTCTGTTGGGGCGCTCTTGGGGCGCTCTTGGGCGCTCTTGGGGCCCTCTTGGGGCCCTCTTGGGGCCCCTCTTGGGCCGTCTTGGGGCCATCTTGAGGACTCAGGAGCCCATGGGAAGCGAAAAGGCGAGAAGGCAAACTCACATAGATTTCCCCTAGTTCGTTGAAGGATGTTGGCCTCTTAGGGGGTCCCTTGGATGGATCGGAGGACACTTGGAATAGTTTTGGGGCCGTCTTGGAGCCTCTTGGATGTGTGTCGGAGGCTGTCTTGAACCGTCTTGAGACATCTTGAGCCATCTTGGAGGCTATCTTGGGCTCTGTGAGGCCCTCTTGAAGCCATCTGCGGTCATCTTGGGCGCTCTAACTACCCGCGCCCCCCCTCCCAGACCCAGTGGAGGGGGTATGGGGGAGGGTTCAAGCTACCCATCCGCCCACAAGTCGTATAGCTCACTCCCGCCCGCCCTCCCAACACATGAGAAGCAACCGAGCCTGAACCAAAGCCGACCCCAGGTGCGCGATGCTTGGGCGAGGTGCGCCACGCGTGCCAGGGGCGCAACTCGCGCCAGGCACCCCTGGGGCCCGAGCGTGTCAGGCACGCCTGGTGCGCCAGGTGCGCCACGTGCTCTGAGTGCGCCAGGTGTGCTGCACACTCCAGCCGCGCCAGGTGTGCCACGTTCGGGGCACGTACAGAGTGCGTCAGGTGCGCCTGCGCACGTGACAGTACACACCGGGAACCATGTGGCCCCCACCATCCTCATCGAGAACCAATGCCCATCATTGTGCCTGGTGGGCCTGCGCACAGCAGGCCACGCGCCACCACCCCCGCTGTCCCTGTCAAAAACCACCTGGTAGTGATCGCGGGGTGGCCACGCATGATCCAGATTTATCCGCGAGGTGCATGTTGTATTGTTGGTTTTTGTGACGGATGTTAGCCTTGCGCATATTGGAGAATATGCTGACACCCACGCCGTCCTTGGCAACAGCAATGCAAAGTGCTCGCGTGTACCCTGTACGGTTTTTTTGACAGGGATGGTGGGGGTGGGCCGCATCAGTTTGACCGCGCATGCTCCCAATTCGGAGGCAGAGTGCGTTTTGTTTTTTTGATAGGGGGGACCCGCATTGGGTCGGCATGGGTCCGGGTTGGCCGCCGGCCAGGTGGGGGAGGGGATGTATATTGATGGGGAACAGTGATAAACACCTCCCCCGAGCAGGGGAAGGAAGGGTTTTGGCAGCGAGTATATTCAGTTCGTTAAACCACCTGCGCCCAGAGCGCTGGTGGGCTGCTTCACGCTTGTCCCCACTAGCCCATCCAAAACCGACGTCCAGGCGAGTTGAGACGATCAGGGAAGTGCAGCAGCCAAGAGGGGAACAGCCGTTATCTTTCGAGGGAGGATGATGCTGATGAGGAGGATGAGGATGGGGATGAGGATGAGGAGGAGGAGGAGGAGGAGAAGGAGGAAGGAGGAAGAAAGAGAAAATAATCCGAAGGAGAAGTGCGAACAGAAGGGCCAGAGTCCTCTCGGAGTATCTTGAAATGTCTCTTGGGAGCTTATTGGGAGTCTTTGGGGGAGTCTTGGGGGCCTCTTGATGGTCCCAGGGGACCCCAGGGGGCGTCTTGCATGTTCCACGGGGAGTTTTCTGGGGCTGCTTGGGGGTCTCTTGGAAGCCTCTTGGGGACCTCTTCGGTGCCTATTGGATTCTCCTGGGCGCCTCTTGGGGCCATCTTGGAGGACCACGATCAAAAAAGGAAAGGCTTTAATCAGCTTTGCCCTTGTAGAGTGCCTAAAGCCGCATCTGGGGAAGCTCTTAGGGCGCTCTTGGAGCGCTCTTGGGCGCTCTGGAGGCAGTCCTGGGGCTCTCTGGGGCTCCTCTTGGGGCCCTCTTGGCCCATCTTGGAGCCCTCGAGGCCTCAGAAAACCATCGGAAGCGAACAGGCGAGAAAGCAAACAACAGTGATGTGCCTTAGGTTGTGGACGCATTTTGGCCTCTTAGGGGGCCTCCTTGGGGTGCTCTTGGTCCACTTGGACACGTCTTGGAGCGGCCTTGAGGCTTCTTGAATCTTGGCCCACCTTGAAGGCCATCTTGGACTCTCCGAGGCCCCGTTAGAGCCGTCTTAGGCCATCTTGGACGCTCCAACGCCTCGCGGAGCGCACGGTCCAGGTCCAAGGGAGAGTGTAGGGGGAGGGGTCATGATACCCTCCTAGATGCAAGCCGTCTGGCTCACTCTTACCCGCCCTCCCGATGCACAAGCAAACACCCGAGCCTCAGCATCTTCAGCGGTCGTCTTTCCATTGACAGCTACTGGGGACCAAAGCCGGCCCCAGGTGCGCGACGCTGGGGCGAGAAACGCCACGCGTGTCAGGCACGCCACGCGCGCCAGGTACC